TTCCAGGTCTTTATTTGTTAATTGCCTCGTTGTGATTGGTTTTGTATATTATCACTGACAGCAAAGAATAAGTTTAGAAGAATCATTTTACAGGATGGTTGTTCACAGGCTGAAGAACAATGGTCACTACAACAATTCGCTTCTCCAAAGGCTCGTGCCTCTCTGTTGCTGTACCCCAAGATTTGATTCAATGACCCAGTACAAGAAAACTTGAAAATCACTTTGATATCTCGCAAATTAACTCTACAAGATCAAAAAGGAGTCAAACAGGTTTCCTTTATTAAACGAATCATAAATGAAATCACATTTATATGAAATTCAAAGAAATATCCTTTACATACTGTCTGTCTCTCTGTGAAAGTCCATGTTGACATACACTACTTGAATGCATGCCTAAAGGTGCAAACATTAAACTAATGCAGATTACAGATATTCAGACAGCAGGCCAAACAAGAATGCTAATGACATTAAATTAAATATTAATAACTGATTTGATTAGCAAAAGGCTTAGAAACACATTAAAAGTTCAAAATTGCTATATTGTTCATGTATTTTGAAGCTGGAGCTGCACTCATTAATTAAAGCGCTGCAGCTGGGACAGGTAAACAGGAACTATGATACAAACTGGAACAACTTTAAAGAACAAATAAGACTAACAGGCAGCAGAACGAAATTGTGGAATGAAATAAATGGAATAAAAAACAAATGATCTGGGTGGACAAGATATCATAATGACCTGAAAATGGGGTCATCTTTTCCATTGGGGGTTTTCACCTCTTCCCCGCAGGTGCTACAAACATATCACTGCTCCTCTCTGTGAGCTCTCGTGTGTCTTTTCAAGTTTGAAATCTTTACTGAATTCTCTTCCACAGTTGCTGCATGAACAATGCTTCTCACCAGAGTGGACTCACTGATGTATTATCAGTATAGCTTCACACCAAAAAGCTTTTCACTTTCCACAGCACATTTTGCAGGCTTTTAACTCGCATCAGCTTTACTCTGACTCTCTGACACAGGAGCATTTTCCACTCTGCTGCTGTGACTTCTGTTTCCGTCACGTTTCCTTTTCTACAGCTCTGCTTTTAGAGATGATGCCGAGCCCGCAGACTTGCTTTTTTTCTTTTTTCGGCTCTCTGGTTTGGGGGATTTTCCAGACAGGGTCCGGTTACAGTTTTGCTCTTCATCTCTGCGAACGCGTTCTTTGTAAGTAGGAGTCACCATAAAGGTAGAAGTCGGCTGCCACACTGCAAAGCGCTCTCCCTCCTGACTGGTGCAAAGTTCCTTCTGTTTCTTTTTAATTGGCGGCAGGTTTGTTTTCTGCTGGTACAGACTGGACCTCCTTTCATGGTTACAGAACTGTCGTCCATGTCGGCCTATCTTTTTCTTACAGACACGCTTTTGTGGGGGGTTGGAGGAGACAAATGGAGAAAAATCCCCAAAAAAGGTTATGGCAGAAAAACACACATCTGTGTGTATGAATGCATATTTTGGAAGCATACAAGGTCTTAAATGATCAGGCCCCATGTTATCTTAATGACCTTATAGTATCATATCACCCCATTAGAGCACTTCGCACTCACTCTGCAGGCCTACTTGTTGTTCCTAGAGTATTTAAAAGTAGAATGGGAGGGAGAGCCTTCAGTTTTCAGGCCCCTCTTCTATCGAACCAGCTTCCAGTTTGGATTAAGGAGACAGACACTATCTCTACTTTTAAGATTAGGCTTAAAACTTTCCTTTTTGCTAAAGCATACAGTTAGGGCAGGATCAGGTGACCCTGAATCCTCCCTTAGTTATGCTGCAACAGGCATAGGCTGCTGGGGGACTCCCATGATGCACTGAGTTTTTCCTTTTCAGTCACCTTTCTCACTCACTATGTGTTAATAGACTTCTCTGCATTGAATCGTACTTGTTATTAATCTGTGGCTCTCTTCCACAGCATGTCTTTATCCTGTCTTCCTTCTCTCACCCCAACTGGTTGCAGCAGATGGCCGCCCCTCCCTGAGACTGGTTCTGCCAATTTCTTCCTGTTAAAAGGGAGTTTTTCCTTCCGAGTGCTGCCAAAGTGCTTGCTCATCGGGGGTCATTTGATTGTTGGGTTTTTCTCTGTATGTATTATTGTAGGGCCTGCCTAACAATATAAAGCGCCTTGAGGCGACTGTTGTTGTGATTTGGCACTGTATAAATAAATTGAATTGAAATTGAATTGAAGCGTGAAAGAGCCATCCAGGAAGAAAACAGACCAGTACCTGATCTCACTATGACAGGTTATAGCAGTTTTTCCTCAGCAAATCCTGTTTCTTTAATAGTTTTTAGTGGAGGGGACAAATGCATGATGTCTAAACATTGTGGGGACATGCTCTCTCCATCCCACTGATAGCTTTATGCCTGTTTCTCTTCTAAATCAGGCTTTTCAGGGTTTGGGGAAAATACCTTCTGGAAAATAAAGATGGTGGCTGTATCCCAATTCAGGGTGTGCAGCCTTAAAGGCCGCATTTTAAGGCCGATCACGTCACAGCAGCGCGCCGAAGGCTGTCCCAATTTGAAGGCTGCTCGAAATGCATCCCTCAAATGTGTCCTTCATTTCCCTGAATTTTAAGGCTGTGGCAGTGTAGACTTTGTGGCCCAACATATCCCACAATTCATAGCGCGGCAGTCGGTGTGGATAATTTTGCCGCAAACGGCAGAAGCGGAGCGGCCGAAGAGTAAACTGTGAAAAGTAAGTACTAAATATTATGTCACTTATTTATGTGCAAATGTTTAATAATGAGGAACATTAAAACATTACTGTTGGCCACATGTCGGCAAAGTTATTTGCCATTAGCGATGTTTGTACTTTCAGCGTTTACTTGGTTTTAAAGCCTTTAAAATATAATAATACAATAGTCGACCTTAATCTGACAGAGAATGTGATGATTTTGTGGATAATTAAAGTCAGTCATATATCCACAATCACAACAAGCTGAAAGTCAGTGAATGCTGCCCGGTTTGCAGTCCTGAATATCACGGCACAAGCAGGATCCATTGCACTGTTAATGTTAGCCATGTTATATTGCTGCCTCTGTTCGGTGGTGTCGAGCCAAACGGACTTAAACGTGTGTTTGAACGAGCTGACGGTTCACTCGTTAAGCTGAAAGAAAGATGCTTTAATCACAGGAGTCACACACGTGTCCACTGTACCATCTGGGAACTCTTCTTGTTTAGCACTCGTAACTATTTATACCTAGAAAGGCTGAGGATGCCATTTTTACCCCATAGAAATGAAGTGTTGTAAAATAACATTTGGGGTATGCCAGATCTGGTATTTAAACTGTTGTAATTACTTACTGGCCTATAATCTGTGAAACGTATCTCAAAGAATATTATTTGTATGTACAATACTTGGTCTCACAGCAGTCGTGACATACTGACAGCCCATAAGCTATGTATTTGTATTTCTGGCCATGAATATCTCAACAGTATTTTGTCAACCCACGATTTTTCTATCAGTGTGCTCTCATGCTCTCGTGTCCTCTTTGAAAAGCAAAGGAAGTCTGCATCTAAAAGTCGAAGGAGTGGTGGAGGATTAAGTTGGCAGACTGTCACACCAGGTCATTTTTGTTGATAGAAAAATACGTTATTTGTTTAGGGGTACACATTAAAAAGTTCTTGATTATCTTTTCCAAAAATATGGTTTCATCTAAAATATAACAATTTATGTTGATGGACACAAAAAAGATTTTGTTACGATTTCACAAATTTTCTAGAGACAGGGCTGAACAATACCAAATCATTTTGGGCCAGAAAGAATATCTCTGTTACAAACTCGCAGCCGCAGTCAGCTTTAAGGCAAAGTGACTTTTAAATACCTTCTTTATTAAGGTAAAAAATCTAACTGCCATTAAAAATGTCTTTTCAAGTGAGATCCAGCCATGAGGGTGGCAGAAACTGCAACAAATATAGCATCACAGTTTTATATAGATATTTTACATGGGACTGGATTGATTATAATACAGGTACAGTAACGCTGAGTCATAAATATGTTAACAGTGTAGCAGTGGTAGTGGTAATTATGCATTTTTACATTAAAAAAGTAAGTACTTCATATATTCCTTTGTTAGCTGACAGTTCTTCATACCTACTATGTGTCCTCTTATCTCTGGTTTCTGGGTGACCTTCAGCAGTTGGTGAGTACTGATCTCCTTCTGATACTGGAGGATCCTTTTTTCAACTTCTGAGGAGATTTCCTCAGCAACAGCAGCTAGTCTCTCCGTGATAAACCGTCTTAAACTGAACTGAAATGAAGACATTTTTCCTTAAGCAACCAAATTATTCCTTCGTCTGGGCATCAGAGTCCACCCTCTTAACATAAAGCAAATTGGAAGCTATCATCCATTAAGCTAGCGGTTCCCGCCTTTTCAGGCTTACTTTCAGATCATTGGTCCGATCCTAGAGGCTGCCTTGATGTTACCAGGGGTGTTTCCTTGGTTTTTGAAATGTGGGGGGTAGGCCACAGGAGGGGCAGGGTGGGCCACAGGAAAGACAGTGTAGACATTAGCATGGGCCGGGGTTTTTCCATGGCTTTTGAAATAGGGTGGCACAGGGTCCAATAATATTTAATTTAACAAACGCACCCTTATTTTTGATTCATGACTGTTCATATGATTTATGCTTTTTTCTTTTTTACTTGGAGATTATTTTAATTGCTTGCATTCTGCCAATAAGCACTAATTATAATAATACAGCATGCAATATTAGATTTATATTACAAAATTTGAAAAATAATAAAGACTTATAAGTATATGTTATGGTTAACAAAGTGTAGTATTTGACTGCAAAATATAGTGGAGCCATAGCGAAATCCATCTTTCATACTGTAAGTGGATTCAGTGGTATTTTTATGGTACTAACCTTCTATATGGTCATGGCACATAGTTATGGCCTGCCCTGCAGTGCCTCTGACGCATGACTCCTGAGAAATGATAACAGGTCGGCTTAGTTGAGGCAGAGGCACAGTAGTGCAAGACTAATTGAGTAACTAATCCCTTTTGTTATTTTCATTTCAAGTGTTTTTTCTTCGATAATACCAGGTTTGTAATGCCCAGTACACACTCCTCACGCTGCCATTTTCTCTTTACTCTATTTAGTTTATTTTTAATCTTATTTGTCTTATTTATTGTCAGTGTCAATATTATTATAATTATTGTTGATTGTTATTATTTACAGCTCCTCTCTGACTGCTCGTGGCTTTTTGATAGCCTGAGGTAAATTCCTTTTTTTTGTGTTTAGACACTTGACAATAAAGTTTATTCAGGTAATAAGTCTGTAGTGCACGTTGTTTTAGACACACACCTTATTTTTGCTCCAGGGCCTATATTATTTAGTTTTTCTAACTGAGAAATATATAACATCAGCATATAAAATGGTACTTGTCTTTTCTCAGACTCAGATATCTAATGTTGTGAAAGTTATTATCAGTAAAATCCCAGCATTCCCATCTAAACGTTGCCATCTCATCTGCACAAAGCTTGTAGCGTATCTTTGTATTCATGCCTTGCAGTTTGTGAGAACAATGCACAGTCACTTTATTAAGTATAACTTATTATTACTTGATTTGACCCCCTTTTGTCTTCCCTTAACTCTTCATAGGAGAGAATCAACAAGCTTGAGCTTGAAACTTTCCTCAGACATTTAAGTCCACATTGATATGATAGTGTCACACATTTTCTGAAGATGGTGTGAATCTGCTGTTCTCCCCCATCTCAAAAGCACTTTGTTGGATTGAAATCTGATGATTTGAAGTATGAACTTGTCATATTCAAGAAACCAGTTTTAAAATGATCTGAGCTTTGCGACAGCAGCAATACTCAGGCAGGCTCTGGCATTTAAGCAATATTCAAGTGATACAAAGGGGCCTATAGTGTGTCCAGAAAACATTTGTCACACCATTACACCAGCACCACCAGCCTGAACCGTTGATCCAAGCCAGGACAAGTCCATGCTTTTATGCTGTTTATACCAAATTCTGACCTTAGTATTCGATTGTAGCAGCAGAAATCGAGAGTAACATTTTTTCATCTTCTATTGTCCAGTTTTGTTGAGCCCCTGTGAACTGTAACCTCACTTTCCTGTTATGATCTAACAGGTGTGGCACCCAGTCTCGTCTTGTGCTGCTGTAGCCCATCTGCTTCAAGCTTTTGAAGTGTTGTAGATTAGGAGATGCTCTTCTGCACCCCTTGGCTAGGGTGAGTTGTTATTTGAGGTACTTTTGCTGTAATATCAGCCCAAAGCAGTCTGGCCATTCTCCTCTGACTCCTTGTATGAACAAAGCATTGTCACCCAGAGGAGTCCTGCTCTTTGGAAACACAGGGAACATTCAAACTCCACACAGATGTGCCCAGGGAGAGAAGAGAATCAAACCCAAACCCAATATTTCATCCATGAAACCTTAATTTAACTTTTACTTTATTAAAGACATTATTGGTAAATGACTTTAAGGCATCTAAATGGTAAATATCTTTAACAAGTCCTCACTTGGACACCATTCACCAGTCGTTTCAACTAATTTCAGAACATAGGCAGTAGCTGCTTGTGTGTGCTTTATTGATCTTTACCTTTATTAAACACAATACAAAAACCCATATAAAAAAATTACATTCTTTATAAACACAAAATATAAGTTTATCTTTATTTAACAAAATCAGAAGTTCAATAATACATTTACCATCAGGGGAAAGAGTTCACAGAAGAATTGAGGCACAATTTTGATGAAGACTTAAGAAGCCAGTCAGCACCTTTGAGCAGCGAGGCAGTAGAAACCGGATGCAATTCAAACAAATGCGACCTACTTTCATGGCATCATATTTCAGTTTATTCATGTACAGAGTCTGATAGTCCACCTCCCAGAACACTGATTTCATATGGTGCTAGAGACTGTGTACAAACATCTACGTCACCAAATGAAATCAGTTTCTGAGTGCAGTTCTTTACTCAACAAGTCTTCTGATTGACACTGTTAATAGGTTTAATACAGAAAAGGACATTCTTGTATATTCATGGCCTGGCAAGCTTCCTTTAGCAAAGTGGATGCAGGTGTAGCTCAAAGGCTGCTGCTGTTTGAGGACGGAAGCTGGCTGTATTTGTTCAGTTGCTAATTTCCCAGATGAACACCAGAGGGTGTGGTTACACAGCCGGCTAGAGCCATGACAGAAGTGGTGCAAGGAATTTAGCTCGGATCCGAAGGGATGTTTTTGGAGAAACCACCTCAGCAAAGCTGGTTGGAAACTCCTGGGTGCCTCCTGGTGCTCCACCTACCTGATTGTGCAGACCTCTGCTGCAAACGACAAAAAAATCTGAATCAGGCTGCTGACCAACGTCACACTGTGCATCATGAAATGCATGAAAATAAAGAATGATAACACAGGCGATATTTACACATCAGTAATGCTATTTCTGAACATTAAATCTGGCTTTTTAGGACATTTCTGATTATAATCTAGACCATAGGTGTCAAACTCTGGCCCGCGGGCCAAATTTGGCCCGCAGCCTAATTACATTTGGCCCGCAAAGCCATACCAAATTATTATTAGAGCTGGCCTGCTGGTATTATACAGCTAATATATATATCGTTTAGTATTAAGCTTTGCTTGTTCCATAATCAGTTTTTCAGCAAAACTTGTTTGAGTCCAAAAGAAAAGATTCATTCTTAAATCTGGAGGAAGATTTTTTTCCTCCATAAATATTAATGTTAGCCCGCGACCTTGTTCCAGTTTTGAATTTTGGCCCACTGTGTATTTGAGTTTGACACCCCTGATCTAGACAGTGGTTCTTGAACTAAGACGTAGGATGTAAACGTTTTTGATTTCTTAAGAGGGCAATCAAGAATTTTTTTTTTGAAAACCACTGTATTAGTCGATGCTCCTGTTACACAGGAACAAAGCTTCAAATAATGAGGCGAGTGTTTATACAAATAAAACCTCTGAGCCAAAAGCGCAGACTGCTGGAAACAGAAGAACAGAAAAAGATTATTTTGAACTGCCTATTTTGAAAGTCATGCAAAGTTCCTCTAGTAGAGATTATAAATTAGAAATGAGTGTAACAGACTCCTTTTAAAATAAAGCCAAAACACACACGGGGTTTGTGTGAAGCTTAAAAATAATCACCTCTCAATTGAACAAGTGAAGTATTGTATCTCATTTGTATGTAAACCAAAGAGTAGGCTAACTAGAAATGCACTTGGAAAGTACAGTGCTATGTGAAATGCCCTCATAGCTCACAGTGTTAAAGAAAGATATCTACACCCACATCCACACCAACAACTGTTCCTTTTCACACCTGTTCCATCTCTTTACGTGATTTTGTGAAATTTGCCCAACAACAAATGATGCTGAAAACATGTTGGATCTCCCTGATGGAGGTTTTATGGTGGAGTTTGTACCAAATTTCACTTTTACTGTCTATGCTCAGGCTGATAATGCAAAGGCATTATTTTTAACAGCCAGCAGGGGGCGACTCCTGTGGCTATAGAACGAACAGTAAATCCAAATGTTCTCAATTGCTAATTTCAAGTTTTACTGAACCCAGCATTGGAAAAGTACGATCCCAATTTGAGTCAAAAAGATAGTAAAGCAGTGTGTGCTGTTACTGACAACCATATGGTTTCTCAGAGAGTTCGCATCTAGTTTCAAAACACCAAGATAGCAACTGCTTTACAACAGGCCTCCATTAAACAGTGGGTGGTGTCATGGTGGCTGAGTTTTGAATCTCTGTATGAGTAGGAAAGTGCAAACCTTGCTGTTTCTCCTGGTTTCTGTATGGTAAGCTGTGCTAAACCAAACTATCCTCTATAGATTCATCTTTACAGTGAAGAGAGGTGAAGGCCAATCAATGTTCTGGTTTGTCTTTCAGAAACAAAATTGACAAATGCAAAATGTGTAACTATTCCTTTAAATGTGGGATGCGATTAAGTAATTACACAGAAGCAGGTTGGGTAACATTCACAGGGCAGGGATAGAACAATAGGATAGAGACAATCCTCTATTCAGCTTTCTTATAGGGTTAAAGCGTCAAGACTTTGTTTTCAGTATCTGAACCAAGAACAATAAACAGCTGAAATTAAGTGTGCACCATAAAGGTATGCAGCAGGTCTAGCAGGTCTTATAATAATGTTTCAACCACAGAAGCTATGAAGCTCTGAGTCATGTTCGTTCTCAGATGGCTTCATTTGAACGTCAGTTTAAATGGGGTGAAGTTCATCACACCTCGCCAAATCCCACTGAACATATGGAGCAACAAGCAGAGACACAAAGCTGGAGAGTAAAATAATGCTTGATTTCAATGAAGGGAAAGATTAATCTCTGTGCAATCTTCCCACATCATGAAAAAAAAATTCATGGATGAATAAAGACAAAGGAAATGAATTCACCAATGTGTCACCAAACTGTGGTGGTGACTGAGGATCCAAAGAAACAGTAGTCATCAGTGCATTTTTCATTTCCCCAGTCCTTTTACTTGATATCATCTGCTGTCTCAGAATATAAAGCAAGAATGAGTCATTTTGACATCACTCTAAAATGCAGAGAATAAGTCAGGGGAGACTCTGCTTGATTCAGGGAGGAAGAAGGATGTGAAGGGGTCATTCTACTAAGTGCTTCCTGAAGGTGCTGTGGCTTCAGGTGAAATATCCTCAGCACCCTTAAGCGAGTTCAGTTAAAGGGCAAGCAATTATCCTTACTAGTGGAAGGCATAACCCCAGAAACATCTGCAGTTATGTGCTGGTGAGGCACAGGGATGAGGGACGGAGGTGACATAAACACGGAGGATCTGATATTTCAGTTCCTGAAATAGCATCTGATGAATTTGACAATTCTGAAGTTCAGAGTGACGTAAATCAAACTGAAAGTTGATTTAAATCAGTCTTTTAAAGTATTTATTTCACATTAAGGTACTCTGTTTTAAAGGAAAACAGTTGAAAAATTCCTGTTGAATCATTGTTTTTGCTCAGATGTTATCAAACGTACGCCAGCAGGGGCTTAACATTAAACCCAACCCTGTTTCCAGGAATGGATAACTCACTGGTTGCTGCAGCTTAACCTTTACCAGATTGGGTTGAGAATGCTATTGATCTTCGCGTCTAACTCTAGGCAAGGCAGTGAGTAAACACAAATTCCAACATGTCAGATTATTACTCCAAGACAATGAGAAAGAAGTATGATAGGAACCCAAGGGGTCTTTTAGGATTCAGAAAACTGGTAAGGAAAACCATCCCTGAATGCTTAAAAATACAACACTGAAGACTAGTTCATCCACTTCCTGGCCCAGTTACAACCTGTGAATACTTAACTCTTTCGTGGATGAAATATGCATGGTTATTTTATGTTATATATGTATAAACTCAATTATTAAAGAAGACCTATCATCTTTTTTAAAAGTCTGCGCACTGTTACATTGGTTGCTTATAATAAATAGCAGTTTATAATAATTACTTCATTGTCTTCCTTCTCTCACCCCAACCAGTCGCAGCAGATGGCCGCGCCCCTCCCTGAGCCTGGTTCTGCTGGAGGTTTCTTCCTGTTAAAAGGGAGTTTTTCCTTCCCACTGTCGCCAAAGTGCTTGCTCATAGCCGGTCATTTGATTGTTTATTGGTTGATTATTCTCTGTATGTATTATTGTAGGGTCCACCTTACAATATAAAGCTGTCGTTGTGATTTGGTGCTATGTAAATAAAATTGAATTGAATTGTATGTAGGGGTAATTGGTGGGGGTCAAAAGATCAGGCTTTAGACTGTTACAGAGTGAAGATACTGCTAATATGAAGACCTCAGGGGTATGCCTCTCCCACAAAAGCCCCACCCAGCAGCTGTTAAAATCTTCTGTTTACAGGGGGCCAACCAATCAGAGGAAAGGTGGAGGAAGGAGAAGAGCTCTGGCTTGTTTCAGACAGAGGCTCATTATCAGATATTTTAAGATTAGATTTAATGTAATCTTACATTAAGATTAGCAAAACATGAGCATCAGGCTGATCAGAACTTTTTGCCGTCTGAGGACCGAGGGTGATGTCAATCAAACCCTGTTTAGAGGGCACAGTACTAACCACTGGTGTGACATAGCTATGAGTTTTCTGATACTGCTTGAAGCGATCAAATGAATGTCCTGTTAACAAATGCTGACGTGACACGTGAAAGGGTTAAACTTAGAAGTGTGTCATGCGTCAAGAGAAAAACCCTACATCCTGGACTTAAAGCAATCAGCCTTGTGACAGATGAGTCAGAAGAAAAAAAAATCCTGGGCTTTTTTTTAAACACATTGATGGTGATCATTGATTATGCATGCATATATATGAGCCTCAGCATGACAAAGAGTGCAAAGGAATAACACAGAAACACAGCTATTACTACTATCATTTGCTATAGGTAGGATGACTAACAGGGGGATTTTAAAGACTTGCTACTGTGCTGCTAATTATTCTGGACCTTTATTTCTTTGCCTGAGATCCGGGACTGCACAGACAAAAGAAGGCTTCATTGCACACCGGACTTAAATGACAGAATGAGGTTTGCAGGGAGTGTTCTGTAGCTAAATATATACCTCCGCCAATGTAGGACAGAATCCAGGTGTGGTCACCTGATGTTCAGAAGCGTAATATCTAGCTATGAAAGCAGGAGAAAGTTTAGAGCAGACAAACATCCAGAATAATTCAGCGTCAAGGTTGGTTGTTGAGCCGTTTTCTTGCGAGTAATGATGGAGCAACAGAGAGAAAGAGTTTCTCAGCAGTGGCTCAGAGGCAGAGGACCTTATGATACTCACTGCCTTTGCGTTTACTAGACAGAAACCAAAGATAGAAATTTTACACAATTCCCAAATTCTGGGCTGGTTCTCATCCCGGAGAAAGTGCAGATAAATTGTCAACTATTACCCTAATGGACTTGTGCTTTTTCACTTGATGGTAACCATTAAAGCTTGGAAAAATAAAAAGTGAAAGATTGTGGCTTACTGTTCTTTAAAAGTTGAGTGAAAATGAAACTGCTAAGTCATTTTCTGTAACAACCAGAACCATTATGCAAAATAACACAGTAACAAGACATAAGGTCAGCATGTTAAAATGATATCTGTGTCTTCATAACAAGCAAATTAAAATAAATATATGAATAAAAAGAACAAATACATAAGCACAGGAATAAACACAAACACTTACCGAGCCGCCAGTCACCTGCGACACAGTGAATGACTTCCTCCTTGAAGACGTTTTCATACCCGCTTCTCCGGTTTAAAGCCACTCCTGTCCCGTACTGAGGCGTCCTGTATTATATTGTACTGTAGGTTCTGAGCTCCTCAGGGCTGTCTTCTCTCTGCGTAAGTGTGTGAGAGAGCTTGATGAGCGACAGAGGAGTTATGAGATGGAGATGCCGCTGTGAGCTCAGCCCTCCTTCCTTTCTCTCTTTTTACAGTCAGTATGAGCTGTTCATCCACTCTGCTGCCAGAGTCATTATTGTAACTGTGAGTCAACGCGGGCTCCACACAAACACAGGCACACACACACACACACAC